TGAGACGGGCACCTCTCTGCAGCCTCTTGCTGTCTTCCCCAGGAGCTCTGATGGCAGTGAGCACAGCTCAGGCCCAGGCCCTGGTTTCCTTCATTTCCGGTCTCTGTGGCCCGCCCTCCTTGCTGTGCTCCCTGGGATGTTTGTGTCTCTAGGTCCCCAGATGCTTAGCCTCCTGCTTTCCTCTGTTTGCTGGCTCTGTCACCATCCTTTACTTACTCAGTCACTAAGCCAAGTAAGACAACCTCACTCAGGGTCACAAAGATTTGCCCGTCAGCATTCTGGTCAGCCCCAGACAGGGTGGCAGCCATGTCCTCCAGGCCAACAGATGGCTCTGTGTGTGTGTGCGGTCAGGAGCACCCAGCATCAGCCCCCCTTCTGGGAAAGCTACAAGACAGATGAAGAAAGAAACCAGTTTTCTCTGTTTAACCCTCACCGCTGAGTTTTAGTTCCCAAGAACAACTGGGCAGATACAAATTTCCTTGTTCAGCGCTCTCAGGCATGCAGCTGGTGGTAGGTTGGGTATGTGCCGTGAAAGAACAAAGCACCATTCATTCTCTTCATCCTTGGTGATCGGCTTTGTACATCTGTTTTGTTACCTCTTGCGGAGGGACAATCTGCCCCCAAATTAAGTAGTTTAAAACAACCACGATGCTTTATTTCTTATGACTAGAATCTTGACTCTGTGTCCCTGGGCACATCGTCCGTCCTTCCTTGTGGATGGCTGAAATACCGAAGGTCATTTTCCCTTCAGTGTCTCCACTGGGGTGGCTGGACCACCCGTGGCCTAGCTGAGGAGCTCAGCGTGGCCTCGCCACACACCTGCCCGGGACTTCCTCATACCTGGCAGCCTCAAGAGAGTCCCTTACACCGTGGCAGAGATCCACTGTCTAGTTTTGAGCTTCTCTTCATGTTTTAGCTGCCGCGGTGTCTCTTCTACTGATTCTGTTGGCCACTACGCATCACAGTCCAGTCTAGATTCAAGAGGAGAAGGAACAGGCTCTGTGACAGGAACGAAATTCCAGGGCAGTGAGACAAAGAATCGGTGTGGTCATCTTCCAAAATCGCCATAGTCTGTTGGTGATGCAGCAACCAATATAGGTCTTTTCTTCTTCATAAATTTAACATCTTGTCTAAAGTTTTTCATGCAAAAAGCTGTACATAATCAATATGTATTCATCATAAGCCTGGTGACGTTGGAGGCAAATATATACCCAAGAAGCAGTCACCACAGTGTTTGCTGTAAACCTACCCAGCATCTCTCCGAATTCTTCCTGCTCTCAAATTTATCATCATCCAGGCAGAGCGTAGTGTAACACACGGCTCCATTCCAGCACACAGGGCACAGTCGGTAAACGTGTGCTTAGCACCATGATGGGATAACTTTAAGTAAAAAGAGCACCAAACTCAGAGCCCATGCACGTCCTGAAAATCCTGCTAATGCAGCACATAGTATTTTGCTAGATTTTTGGTTTATTTTGAGACAGGTCTTACTGGGTAGTCCAGGCTGGCCTTGAAATCACTGTCTCACCCAGGCTGGTCTTTGACTTTTGACAGTCCTCTGCCTCAGCTACCTGAATGTTGGGATTACAGGTGTGTGCCACTGTGCCTGGCTGTATTTTGTATTATTAAAAGATTTTTCTAGGGGCTGGGGATTTAGCCCAGCTGCATAAATGCCTGCCTGGCAAGTGCTAGGTTGTGAGTTCGATCCCTGGTACCAAAAAAAAAGAAAAAGAAAGAAAAAAAGAAGATTTTTCTGATATATAATTCATATGCCATAAAATATAATTTATTGGTCTTAATATATTTATGGAGTAGTGAGCTATTACGTTAATTTAATTTTAGAACCTTTGCTGAGGATTTAGCTCAGCGGCATAAGCACCTGCCTTGCAAGCAGGTGGTCTTGAGTTTGAACCCTGGTACCGATAAAAAAAAAAAAAAAATTTAGGGGGCTGGGGATTTAGCTCAGTGGCATAAGCGCCTGCCTTGCAAGCAGTCAGTCGTGAGTTCGATCCCTGGTACTGATAAAAAGGAAAAAGACCAAAAAAAAAAAAAAAAATTTAGAACCCTTTAACCATCCCAAAAAGAAACACTGACCAGGTATGGTGGTACATACCTGTAAGTTCAGTGCCCAGGAGGCTAAGGCAGTAGGATCACTGTGAGTTCAAGGCCAGCCTGGACTACATAGGGAGACCCTGTCTAAAAAACTAAAAGGGAATATTATCATTCATTCCCCATACCACTCTTTCCTCCTGCCTTGGGCAACCACTAATCTACTTTCTCCACAGATTTGCCTATTCTGAATATTTTCCATTAATGGCAGTAGGCTCACATAAATGAGTACATTATGCACTGTAGCTTTTAACAACTGGCTTCTTTTACATAGCAACATGTGTTTTGAAATTCATCTGTGTTAGAGTATTCATTAGTGCTTCATTTCTTTATGAGGCTGAAAGATACCCAGTTGCATGGATATGCCACATTTTATCCATTAGTGGATGGACATGTGAAAGGGTTTTTTTCTTACCATTGTGCATTTGAACATCCACAGATAGGTTTTTGTGGGGATATATGTTGTCAGTTCTCTCTGGTAAATATCTAAGAGTGGAATTAGTAGGATTAATGATAACTATTTAATCTTCAGAAGAATTACTGAAACTGAGACAGGGATATAGCTCAGCAGCACAGCCTACATGGCAAGCGCAAGGTGCTGAGTTCCATTCCCAGTACCAAAAAGAAAGGAAGAAGAAGATTCTGAAAAGTGGTCATACCATTTCACATTCTTCTCTGCAATTTATGAGAGCATTTTTAACTAGTCTTTGACTTAAGTATTGAGTTGATTGTGGCTAAAAGGCTGATCCCCCAGTTACGTATGTGTGATGGCCTCAAGGTGAGGCATTCCCACCACAGCATTCATGCAGCAGCCATGGTGTGCGGCAGTAGAGTCCACTGCGCTCCTGGAGGTCCAGGCTCATGGAGGTGGATGAGCAATGCACAACCCCAGGATCACCCACCTGCAGGCCCAGGACAGAGGCAGCTTGGGAACAGGAGGGAAGAGCCCTCCGTCTGGGTGACATGGGAAAGGATCTTTGGGGGAGGTGATGTTTGAGTTCAGTCTGGAAGAAAGAAAAATGAAAGTGAGGGAGAAGCGTAAGCTGGGACAAAGGAAGTTCAACAAGCAGAACTAACACCTGCCTAGAAAGTTCGAGAACTTGGGGACTTCGGAGAATAGGGCTGCCAGGAGCTCCTAAGGACAGGACTGTGGCACTGGCATGGTGGCCCGGGAAGATGCTGGGAAGGTAAGCAGTCACATAAAGGGCTTCATACTCCACGCCAAGTATTTAATTTTACCCTTGAGTTGTGGTGCTGTGCTGTGCTGTGGATGGGTTCTGAGGAGGGAGTGGCAGGGTCACAGTGCCCTTTGGGAGGTCAGCCTGCAGCAGAGGAGCAATAGGGGGCTGAGGGCTCTGCCTTGACCATGATGACAGGCTGGTGTCTGCCTCGTGTGGGAATTGGACCTGTGGGCACACTGTGCTTTCTGGGGGAGCTACAGTTATGAACAGCAACACCACAACCCAGAAGCTTATGGGGCAGGCCGATGCCCAGTGACCCCAGCTGGCCCTGCAGACCTCACCAGACGTGAGCGTGTCCTGCTGCCCTTCTTTGTGAGCAGGTTGCCCTGGCCCCTCAAGTTCACCCGGAACTATAGTCTGGTCCAAGGTACAAGGCCCAGACAGTCACAAGCAGTCTGGTGGTAAGTTTCACCCGGTCTACACAAGGCCCCATGGCTCTCCTGGGAGGGAGCCAGCACTTTCTGCTTTGGCCAGTAGTGTCTGCTGGGGCTCTTTGTCTCCTGGAGTCCCGTATCCCCTGGAGCAGGGTGGGGATTCTGGCCCTGGACCCATTACTGCACACAAGGCCCTGCCTGGTTTCAGTCTTCTTTATAGTAGTGACGGTAGTGCCTATATTTTAAAATAATGATTCAGCTGGTGTGGTGGCTCACACCTGTAATCCCAGCACTTGGGAGGCTGAGGTAGGAAGATCATTGTGAGTTTGAGGCCAGCCTGGGCTACAAAGTGAGCTCAAGGCCAGCCTGAACTGCATAGCAAGACCCTGTCTCAAAAAGACAAAAAAAATTAGATGGCCAGGGATGTACCCCAATGGCAAAGCACCTGCATTGAGTTGTTAGTTCGATTCCTGGTACCAAAAGTAAAATAAAATTTAAATAAGTAAATAAAACATAGCATTTTTGCATTTGATTCATTTATATATTCCTTTTGAAATGACTCAAAAAATAACCCTTTCAGGACAGAATCAGCAATTTCCATGACAGTCATTGAGCAAATACTAAAAGACTAAACATTTTTAAATCACTTATCTCCTTTGTTTCCTTCTTAAAATGGAGATAAAACACAAATTTTATGTGTAAAACTCTGGAGAGTTTGCCATTATATTCCGATCAACATACAGTCACCCCAGAGGTTTCCTTCTGTCACTTTGCACCTGCACTTCCTCTAAAAGGTTACCTCTCATCAGAAGTCCTGCTTGTCTTTGAGCTTGTGTTTAAATCACCAGTGTATACGTGCAATTATGTCTGGCTAGTTTTGTTCAACATAACATCTGTGAGAATCATTTTTTGACACTTAAATAGGTGAGCAACCCTTTTGTCAATTAATTATATTAGAATCTCCTCCCCCTTTAATCTTTAAATTAAAGATACCATATAATTTACCTATTTTTTTTCCAATGCTGGGATCAAATTCAGAGGTTCACAAGGCTAGGCAAATGCTCAACTAATGAGCTACACCACAGTTCTCATCCGTTTAAACAAGTGTATGACTCAGTTGCTTTTATTTATATTCAGAAAGTCATGCAACCAACCACCATCACTGCTGACTCCAGCACATCGGCACCATCCCCATAAGCAATGTTGTAGCCACCCGAGTCCCTCTCTTCTGAGTTCCCAGCAATCAAGTACTGATCTGCTTCTATATTCCTTCTAGGACCCTAAACATTTCAAGTCAGAGAAGACAGGACGGGGCCAGTTAAGGGAAGGCTGGAGGGATAGTCATCAGCCCATCATGTGCTCCTACAAGCTGGTGACTGTGAAGTTTGAAGTCTGGGGCCTTCAGACCAGAGTGGAACAATTTGTGCACAAAGTAAGTGATCCAAAAAAAATTTTAAAAAATAGCTCTCGGGCTGTGCACAAGGCCTCTGACAGGCTTTACTGTCGAATTGGAGGCCTTGTGTCCATCTAGGGCGCCATGCTGAGCCAATGCCAGGTAACCATATCTAGAAAACACTTTTTGGAGTGAAAATTCATTTTATATATGGTTTTGATTTCCTCCCACTATTAGATGTAGATGTTGTATGTTTCATCTCTCATTCTGTGAGCTCCGGATCCACTGGGTAAGTTTATCTGGAGATGAGGCTCTCACAATGTCCTTCCCTCCTTGACATCAGGCTAATCTGCCAGGCAGAGGCAGCTGGTAGAGGCTCCGGGCTTATCTGCGTGCACGGCGCTCGAGGCGGATTCCCCCTGGAAAGATCTTGCCTGTGTAGGCATCTGAGGCAGGCAATGCCCCAGGGATAGAACAAGAAGTCTCCGCTGTGCCCCAAAACGGCACGCCTCAGTGTTTCTGCTCTTTAACTAATTCTTCTACTAAAGAATTATTAACCACCCAAAATGCAGATTTCACTTTGGCTAAACATTTTAACTTTGCAACAAGGACCTACTTGGTGGGGCTGGGGATTTAGCTCAGCGGCATAAGCACCTGCCTTGCAAGCAGGCGGTTGTGAGTTCAGTCCCCAGTACCGATAAAAATGAAAAAGACAAACAAAACAAAACAAAAGAACCTACTTGGTGATGATTTAAGTTTTCTAACACAATTCACCTGGAGGAAAAAAAAAAAATCAGTGGAAAATGCTACTGGAAGCATTGCCCTTGATAACTAGTCTTATTTTCATAAAAGCTAATAGCCCCTAAGTCATCTCTGAATTCCAGATAGGTTAGCTTTCTGTTTATCTTTGCACTTAAATGTTGATGAAGAGTAGCTTTTCAAAATTCCTTTGAGGGCACTGAAAGTTTTACTCAGTATTGAGCTTTTTGTTATTTAGATGGATTTGTCTACTAAGGAGGCCGATTTGATGATAGAAAGTTTAATTTTTGAATTTAGGTCTATGGTCGATGGAGTTGATTTGTCTTTCAAGTCCTCATAACTTGGGCGGCTTGAAATGGCACATTCTGGAACAAATTCCAGAGCCTAGGTGTGTTCTTGCACACAGAAGCTTGTGATCCTACAATGAGTTCCAAAACCCATTCTGCCAGCCAGGAGTCAGAATGCGGTGAGACACATAGAAATCCAATTTGAGGGGCTGAAGGTTTAGCTCAGCGGCATAAGCACCTGCCTTGCAAGCAGGCGGTCGTGAGTTCAATCCCTGGTACCGATAAAAATGAAAAAGACAAAAAAAAAAAAAAAAAAAAAAAAAAAGAGAAATCCAATTTCAAACCTGTTTTCTTTCTGTGTTCCAGTTATTAAGGAAGAAAGCAATCCCAACTTCCAGAGTGTCTCATCTCCTTGGGGCCATTGTCAAAATGTATTTTATTTTCTGTCACAAAGTCAGATCACTGTATTTCTTTTCTCACAGATGACTTAGGCTAGTTTTGTGAATCCATTTCTTTCAAATGCCTGTAAGGTGGATGTTTCAGTCACAAACATTCTATAGCCAAATAAGTTGTTAATAAATAAATTAATTGTTTCCAAATAAATTGAAGCGGTCCTCACACCCGGCAAACACCCCTGCTGTTGGCAGAGCGATTACTAATAAGTGTCTGGCGGAGAGAAGCATTTACCTGGGTTTAAAGTGTCAGGGCTGCCTTTCTCTGAACACCTTTGTTTGTGGAGGTTTTTTGTTTTTGTCTTTGTCTTTGTTTTTTGGATTTTTGGTTTTGTTTTGTTTTTTAAAGAATCTATTGACAGTTAAAGGGAAAGAAATGTTCGAAAGTAAGCCCTTAGCACATTATTGAATTCTTGTTTCCAGCCAACAGCTGTGTTGTGCTTTAATGTAACGGGGTGTATTTATGGGTGCCTCGATGCTGTTCTTTTGATTTCCATGAATCTGACACACTCAGCACACAAGTGTGTACCCCTTCAGTGTGTTTCCTTCTTCAGAACCCTCAAAGCCTCACCAGACATCCGGAGGCCTGGAGGAGTAAACACTTCATTATAAATATTTCCTTTGTCCACAAATTAAAATCCTTCATTGATTGAAACATGCTGGAACCTTCCATGAGAGAGTTTTGACAGTTACTGGGTTTGTTTGGCAAGAACGTTAAGGGAGACTCTGTGTATCCAAGAACGTAAAAAGGGATATTTATACAGGACAAAAAAGATAGCATGAGGTAAAGGCACATGAGCTGGATTACACACATACACACGTGGTGTATATTGTTTACCTGGGCCTCCTGTTGCCATTATGTGTCCCTATAAGAAACAATTTCAGCTGGTGTGATGATGCATGCCTATAATCCCGGCACTTGGGAGGCTGAGACAGGAGGATCATTGTGAGTTCAAGACCAGCCTGGGCTACAAAGTGAGTTCAAGGCCAGCCTGAACTGCATTGTGAAACCCTAACTCAAAAAAGACAGAAAAAGAAAAAAAGAAACAATTTCATTCCCTTTGTCTCCAGTGAAGCTTATCATTCCTATTATGTTCTATTCTAGTTCAGGTCTCTTATTTCATCTCTTTCAGTAATAGCTGACTAAACTGCTTTTTTTCCAACCATTACATGAAAGTCAAGCCTAGAAGGCTATTAACTTATCTCATATAACATATGACAGTTTACTTTTGAGTCAACTATATTAATATTTAGGATACTTCATCAGTGAAGAGGGAATGTTAAACGCTCTTTGCTCAGAAATGACTTGGGCCTTCATGCTAAGATACATCCCCAGCCCCTCCTTTTTAAGTTATAAGTCTTCCTAAGGCTCTAAATTGAGAGAAAGCATTCTCAAGTCCCAACACTTATGACCTCTTAGCACCAGCAAGACACACACCCTTCTACAATGGAAAAGTACATCCCATTCCAATTAAAGAGAAATGAAAAATCTCAAGGTGATTAGCCTAGAGAGCCATTCAGATTTTTGCTGTATGACCGTCAAGTTGTTGTCATTAGTTTGTACACCCCCTGGTTTAACTCAAATAAGGTCAAAGGACTAATGTATGGGCAGCTTATGCGAGCAGTGGAGAGAGATGGGCCAAGCCCACACAGCATTTTTGCCCGTCCTTAGGGACAGCCAGAGGGGTTGAGAAATAATAACTTCCAAGAGTTTCAGAGTTGGGAAAAACCCAGTTTCCAAACAGTTGTTCAACGTGGTATGATTTCAACTTCCATTTACTTTGCAGGTTGTCCGAGACATTCTGCTGATTGGACATCGCCAAGCTTTCGCATGGGTTGATGAGTGGTATGGTAAGTCCACTTCCCCAAAATAACTTGTAGAACAATTTCATAACATGTTGACTTGGGCTTTCGGTCCTTCTGGCTTCAACTGCTACCTAGGAAGACAGCCACAAAGGCAGATTACTGCTTCCTGTATGGGAACTAGCCCTGTCCGTGAGGCATAATAAAAATGTAATTATAGAAGCTGGATCTAAAATAGCCACAGAGCTACTGACTAAGTAGGACTTCGGTATGTTTGATGCTCGGATAGTTGATATGCGGGGCTCTATCATTCTCTGTTGGGTGGATTTCAAACCCATTCTAATTTATCCCAGACTTTAGTTCGAGATCAAAGCTGCCTGAAGCATCAAGTAAAAGCAGTCTTTTGATTCAGAGGACACTTAGAACAATCCCTTACCAAATACACAGAGCTCTACGAGTGTTCCAGGACGAGCAGAGGTGAAACACTGTGCTCCATTAATTCTAACTGGAACAACTTTCCTGGCTTTTGTTTTTTTAATGAAATGGGAAGAGTTAAGTTCTGCACATCGCCAGTACATGAAAATGAGGTTTGCCACACTCTATGATGGGTAGACCTCTTTCCCCGGAACCCTCAGCACCACCATTCTGTCCGCTTGACTCTTGTGTTCCCAGCTTTAGTCATAAGGACAGATAGCTGTCCTTGGCTATAAATAGAAATAAACACACCCCGTGGATGACTTAGGTTAGATCTGATTTTCAGGTCGGTTGTCATGAAATGCTCTCCTCCTTGGCCTTTTCCTAAGTCACATTAAATTCATTCTAAGCATTGTATTTTGGTCCTTTTAAATCATTATGCCACTATTTCCCTTGCCGTTCTTACCAGGAAGTATCTAGTTTAAAGAGAAAAAACATGTCAAGAAGAAAGCACGAAGACAGTGGTGGTCATTAACGTTGGCGACTGTTTCTGAGCCGTAGTTTTAAAGGCAGAGTTCTGTAGACTGTGGGCTTTTTGTTTTGCTTGTTTTTCTCAGTTTTCCCAGATCTATACCTTCTGAAAAATACATGCCTCTTCCTGGGCTTGTCCAAATGCAAGTTATCTATTTTTCTCTCTAATTAAATGCCCCAGGATGCCACCCTAATGGGCAAGTTGTCATGCAACCCTAGTATACCTAAGACCTCTCTATTTGTGCCATCTTTTATGAGGCAGGTAGACAGAGTTTGCTGTGATTCCTCTGATCCTTAAACAAGTATTTCTGGGTGTTTTTTCTAGCAAACTGTTCTTAGGTTTTCAGGGGGTAGCATAGACTCAAAAAAAAAAATAAAATAAAAATGAGTGAAGAATTTCTGGCCTCTCCTGTCTTGGACTCATGATGGTTTCCTCATTACCAATACCAAGGAACTACCAAAAAGATATTCAAAGGATAATAGACTTGAACTGATAGAAATTTAGTAAGAGGACAAGCACCTACCACTATGAGGACCAAGATACAGATAGGTTTCTCTCCAGTGCCAAATGCCACTGAGGGCTTTTCAAAGAAGGTAACATCAAAAGGACAAGCAGACTCTGACCATGAGGTCAAAACATGTTGAGGCTGTTCATCAAGAAAAGAGGCCTTATAAGCAGGCAGTTGTGAGTTTGATCCCCGATACCGATAAAAAGGAAAAAGACAAAAAAAAAAAAGAAAAAAGAAAAGAGGCCTTGGTTAGAGACAGACCTAGAAAAGAAAAAATATGTGTGTGCACCTGGAAAGTGAATGGCTGGGTACAGAGGGTGGGGCCTAATTATTCCCTATCTCAGCTGAGCTGGGCAAGGAAGCGATGCTCACCTAGCATGTGCAAGGTCGTGGGTTCAAGCCCTGGCACTAGAGAGAAACAGAGACAAATTCTCCAATTATTATAGGGGACTAAATCTAGAATAACAATGAAAGATCTCCAAGGGGAGACTGGTGAGACTGTCAACGGAACACGTGAAGACAGTTATCAACCCAAGGAATCTATTGATCCAGGAGTCCTTTCTATGCTGGCAGAGGTGATGCAGGCCTATAATCCCAGCACTTAAGGAGACTGAGGCAGGAGTATCACGAGTTGGAGCCCAGCCTGGGAAACTTAGCAAATTTGCAAGATCATGTCTCAAAATAAAAATTAAAGCAAAATAAAAAGGGCCAGAGGTGTAGACCAGGGTGATGGCCTTAGAGCCTATATGTTAGTGTTAAAAAGAGTATAGCTTGGGGCTGGGGATTTAGCTCAGTGGCATAAGCACCTGTCTTGCAAGCAGACGGTCATGAGTTCGATCCCCGGTACCAATAAAAACATTAAAAAAAAAAAAAGAGTATAGCTTTAGCATATGTAGATCATCAGGTTACCTTGTACACCTGTATCCACCACCATAGCCCCAACTAAAACAGGCAGCCTTTCCCTGAGCAGGGGTCTGACACCTACACCAAGTTTCCTGTGAGCTTCTTCTTGCTGAGCTGAGCTAGCAAGCAACACAGTGGCTCCTTAGTACCTGAGACATACATTCAGGAACCAAATGAAGGCAAACATCCGCTGCCCACAGGGTGGGTGTCTTCTTAGCCACTTGTTCAGGGTCCCTGTTACCAAGGCCGGTGTCCACCGGATAATCCTTCCATTTGGGTAACCCTGAATTGGTTGATTTTTCTTTGGCCCATACAGGCCCAAAGAGGCTCTTGTTAGCAAACATGGAAAAGGTTCAAAGTAAAGAAACCCTTGCTGGTAGCTAAAACTTATTGCCCTGGTTCTCCAGATGAGGTATTTGCTAGAAATGCATATTCCCAGGCCCCCACTCCAAACTTGCTGACTCAGAAACTTGGGGGTGAGGGGTCAGACCAAGCTTTCTATGTCTTAAAGTGCCCTCCAGATGATTCTGAAAGTCTAGCTTGTAGCTTGGGCTGTAAACTAGATAGGAATGCAAAGGTAGTTTAGTTAATTCAGTCCAAATAGGGTAATCTAAGAAATCATAGATGTCTTCGGGGCCAGCTGCTAAACTCTAATGCCTTGTGACAATTAGAGAAAAGCAGCCCTTGTAAACAGATGGATTAGGGATGGAGGTGCTCCTTCTGGGCAGAGTCAGTGGATGCTCTGGACTGGGGACAGAACTGAGCCCCATTTACCTGCTCAGCTTGTGTTCATTCAGTGCACACACCATATACCCTGCTGCACCGTCCACAGCAGTCCTGGTTCCTAATTACTCACCACCTCCTGTGCTTAAATCAGTCCAGAGAAGAGCCAGGCAAGGGGGCTCATGCCTGTAATCCCAGCACTTGGGAAAGCTGAGGTAGGAGGATGAGACCCTGGCTCAAAAGAGTGAGAGAGAGAGACAGAAAGACAGAAGATATTGTAGGGGAGGGTGATCTTTTCTCCCCCAAGGATTATTTTTGCATTGCTTCTGAGTTCCAGCATTGAGCTGTCACAGAACTATTTCCCTAAACAGATTTTATTCTGTTCGTGTTCACTGTGCAGCATAACTGTTTCCATGTTGGAGAAGTTGAGTTTGTCTTTCAAAGCCCAGATTGGTCTTTATCCGTGAGCCTTGGGTCTCTGCATGACTAGAACAGTAATCAGAGAAGGAGCAGCACATTTCAGAAGATGGGGTGAGAGGGATGGTGGATAAAAATAGCCAGCCCAGCTTCACAAAAGCATGGTTTGCTTCACACATCTGACAGTATCTTGAAAGAGGAGCACTCAAGATTGCCAGAGGGCACCTGTGACTGAATGGAATCTCATAAATGTGTTTGAAAACTTGGCTCTTCCCCCAAAAAGTATGAGACAGGGTGAGTTCTGACTGACAGAGATGAAAAGGTCTCATGAAAGTGACTTAGAAATCAGCCTGGAGTTCCTATAACAGGCACAAAAATGAGGAAAGCAAGAAGTGTGCTAGGGACTGGCCTTAGCTGGCGAGTTCATCCAGCCAGCATCTTCCAGAGGACGCGTATTTCCTGAAATACGGCTTTCAGTGCCAGGGCTCTCTGGCCACGCTTTACATGTGTGTGCTTAAGCTCATTTTCCTAAGGAGAGAACTTGGAGCGTTCCATCAGAATTTCAAAGGAATCTATGAATCCTCCTCTTCTATCTCCATTAAGAAAAAAAAGATCCTATAGATTATAGTTAAGGAGGGCCAGGGATTTAGCTCAGGGGCATAAGCATCTGTTTGGCAAATGCAAGGCTGTGAGTTTGACCCCTGGTACCAAAAAAAAGGGTACCTAAAGATTTTTGTAAAAAACATGTATCAAACCAGTGATGTTAGGCTGGACATGGTGGCTCAGACCTATAATCCCAGCACTTGGGAAGCAGAGGCAGGAGGATCACCACAGGCTCAAGGCCAGCTTGGGCTACATGTGAGTTCAAGGCTAGCCTGGACTACATAATTAGACCTTGTTTCAAAAAACTAAATAATAATAAACTAATGATACTTCCGAAAGAATGGCCACCATTTTGCCAGAGGTAAAGGAATATCCAACTCTAACTCACAGTTTCTGGATCCTCCCTGACCCACTTGCTCAAAACTTTAGATTTGATTTAGAATGAGATTTAAAAAAAAGGGTTTCTGTTTTGGCTGAGGAGCCTGGAAGTGGAGGGATATTTGTAGAAGGAAGTAAAATATAATGTGCCATTGAATGGGTCACTGGAGCGTGTGAGACTTTCCTTTTTAAAATTTTAGCTGCTCCAACTGTGTAACATAATGAAGGAAAATTCAAGCCCGCAGATGCTTTGTTCCAGACCATTTGTAATATGTTGTGTGTTCAACTGATTTGTATCCTCAGGGCCTTTCACAGATACCATCTCACCTCCTCCTTCAATGAAATCAACTTGCTTTCTTTAAAACTAAAATGACTAGGAGCTGGGCAGGGATACAGGCCTGTGATCCCAGCTATTCTGGAGGCCGAGGCAGGGAGATTGCAAGTTAAAGGCCAACACAGGACAAGTCAGGAAACTGTTTCAGAAGATGAAAAGGCGGAGCTGTAGCTTAGCACTCCCTGGGGTCAGTCCCCAGGACCACAAAATAATAAAATGACCGGCCAGAAGGTGAC